TTGATCAAATGAAAATCTGTCTTCAACATATTTTCTTTAAGATTTTGAGGTTTTTTTGTAGAGAAAATAAATGAATTCCCAAAATATATAAATTAACATTACTGGAAAGCTGAAGCATCCATTTTGGAGTGCTCAGTTTTCTAAAATCCTTTCCTAATATTTTAAAAAACCCATCTCAGGTGCAAATTTCAATTTTGATGAAGGCCATTTTTCTTCAAATTGTATTGAATGAAAAAATTCCATCAGCTTCAGACAAGACCAGTCTCCTACCCTCATAAAAATTGTAAAATACAGTTCTTGTCACATTTGTGAGTTATTTTTGCGCTCCGCCTTTTACATAGGTACAAAATTCTATGCCTCCAATATCCTATCCACCCCCTGCAAAAATGAGATCCCAGAATTAAGCATGGCAATTTTACTATTGCTCACAGCACAAAAACAAGCCCTGAACATCCATACATTTCAATTGACATCAACTGAGTACGCAATGCAAAAGATGATGGCAGGAAAATGGCTATGATATATTCTACTAAAATTTGTCAGCATTGCAAACAAAGTTAAACTGCAGCACTAACATAATTGAATTAAGTATTAATATTTTTGTTCTCTCATGCTTTTCTTAAAATGAGAAAAGTTTGAGCTATAGGAGAAAGCACACTTCAGTTATTATTGGATGAAAACCAAGTTTGTCAGCTTAACTCTTAAAGCTTTGATGAAAACATCATGGGGCGAGGCAGAGTGGAATAGGCCAAAAAATAACCTTACCTAAAATTGCAGAAGAAACAAATTTTCCTTTTTAAGGTTATTCAATTATGGGCTAATTACAGTAAATTCCAGATGATGGGGCAGAAAGAATGGCAAGAATGAGGCACAGGAACAGCTAACGAAAAAGAATAATGGAAACCTTAAGAAAAGGTAATCTAGCACTCAAATTACAGAAACGTAATGAATATTTTCCATTCAATAATGAAACTATTGTATATTTTTTATATTAAAGAACTGAAGGTAATAGAATTTTTCTTCATTAAAAAAAGACTCAAATCTCTCCTTGCTAGGGTGACTATTTCCCAAAGGAAAAATGGGACATCCCCAGCCACTTGCCTAAAGGCACCCTGCACCATTGGGCCTCTGCCACTCACCTTAGCATCCCCCTTCTCCAAGGGCAGATGTTGCTGGTCACTGGAACTGTGCTTGGCCCCCACATGTTAAAATGCTGCCCACTCCAAATCCTGCCAGCCCTGTGAGGCATCTCCCCTCTCAGCTGTGTTTCTCCTCATTATTCCCTACTTTATTGACAAACGTGGATATTTGGCCCATTTACTCTTGCCAACCTCTCAAGCTGGCGAAAGTAAATGGGACAAAAGCCCACTTTTGTGCAAAAGATGTCAGGACAACTGGAACAGAGTTTAAAAATGAACTCGCTTGGCCCAATGGGGATATAGGGTCACCCTAATTTTTGCAGCCATTGAACAGAACTTTTAGTAGACTGAACTAATGAAGTGCCCAAACCTGACTGACTTGCAATAATTGTAATAGTAGTTGGAGGCTTAACTCCTTCAATCACTTTAAAATCCCACCTTCACATAAAAATCAGTACTGCAAATATATGTATTCCATGTAGATGTGTGGCTGCTACAAAAATGTACAATACAAATGAAAAAACCTTAGAGCTTTTATTGTCTTAACAATTAAAGCATGAGAAAAGATGGATCAAGTGTGATAAAATTGTTCAAAATAGATTACTAATAAATCTTGTATAACAGTAAGTGTACTAAAAGTAATCCATATCTTCAGATTCATCTATCTGACTCTCACTATTTTAGAAGGTTCTTTTATTCCAAGTAATGTCAATGGAAAAAATCAGGTTCAGTTTAAGCAAAAAGATCCCTATCAATTTTCACCATGAAGAAAATTAACTTATACAGAATGAACCTCCCTGGTCCTGCATCCAGGAGACTGGAGTGGTCCTGAATAAGGGAATTTGACAGACCAGGGGAGCTCAGGCATCCAGGCTCTCCTCGTGGTGGCTGTTCTAGGAGAATCCAGAGATCTGATCTCTTCTGGCCCACGTCCCTGGCTCTGCTGCCCACATCCTGTTCCCATGGCTCTACTCTCTGCCCCGAGCCCCATGCGGGGTGGCAGCTGCTGATGAAGTACCCCGGCCTGCACACGACAGCAGCTGCTCCTGGGACTCCCTGCCCCCAGGTCTCTGGGCCTGCAGGCTGCCACTGACCAGACAGGCTCCACTCCCGGCCACTCTCAACCTCTGTTGGCTGTGGCTCTCTGGTCTAGAAACATCTGTGGTGTTGCCACACCATGGATATTGCTGGACCAGAGAATCCCAGACTACAGAGGTTAAACCTGTATTAATGTTACAGTTCAAACAATGTACAGATCAAATTTTCCAACAGCACTTGTAGAACTGAACTCACAATTTTGAACAAAATGGCATGTATTCATTTTCGAGGCTATGTTGAAGTTTCCATTCAAATATAGAATTAAGATTATAATTTCTCCAACCAGAGAATTTTTTTTAACTGAACAGGTATTTGTTTCTATTAAATAAAATATAAGAAGACATGGGAGAAGAGCCATTAGTCTCAGTTGGAGGTCTAGTCACAACCAAAATGAACAACAACAGGAGCCCGCTCTAAGTTTAGAGCACATCTTCTATTGCAGCATCCATTATTTACCTACATTAACATCTCAAACTCTTTTCAAAACAATCCTTAGGCCTATACTCATTTTGAATATGGAAAATGGCCCATTAAGTCTTGACACATATTAAGTATGCCTGCTAATTCCTTCTCTTCTCTTCCCAATATAGAAGACTGGAAGAGTTTGTCCCATATATGACCGATTCCAATTCTGTACCCAGGAAAATAGTATAATGCAGCTGAGGGCTTGAAATTTGCCACTTCCTTTTTCCCTTTTTGCTAATTGTTGTCCTCTTTGTAATGTTAATACTGGGATTAAGTCAGGAGGATTGTTCTGGGACTGCCCCTTATAAGGAGAGTTTTGGAATGCATATGGAATAGGAACAACATACTAGTGTTTTTATCTCAACCAAATCTTGGAGGACTTCTTGATTAAACTAATACTGTCCAGCTGGTTGTCATTAAGATCCTCCTCTAGGGCATTCTGATAGTGTTTAAAAACAATTAAGATTAATTTGCATCTACACAGTGTACTAAAATTAAGAAAAATGCTTCCAAATTAAAAGGGCAAGTAAACAGCTTATTGTATTCAAAACATTAGTTTGGAAGAATTTCAAAACAGAGATAAAATTGAGCTCTGATATCCAGATATAGAACCCCACAGCATGGAAAGGGGAGAACAGAAAGTTGTGATGATTTCATATCTAAGGGTACGTCTACACAGCAACATTAGTCGACATCTACACAGAAAGAAGTTATTTTGAAATAATGCTGAAATACTGTCAAGCTGGAGGTCTTCTTACTCCAACGCCTGTAATCCAGAGGAAGAGTGCTCTATTTTGAAATAAGTGCTGTGTAGACGCTCCCAATTTGGAAATAACTCAAAAACAAGCTACGCAAATTGAGCCATGTCCTGATGTGTAGATGCACCCTAAGAGATTATATATAACGTAGAGTGAACATTAGAATTAAATAGAAATGTCACTACAATATAATTTTCTGACAATGATTCTAACCATTGAAAAAATATACTGGTCACAATATAGAATATAGGTTAATATTTTCAAGTAATATTTTAAATTATTTCCCAGTTCATTTTCAGAAACATTTTTAATGCTTTTACTCCCATGCTGTTTTGAAAAATTTGGTCTAAGCTTTGATTTAGCTCCATTTCTACAATTCAATAATGGTAATACACCCAAAGAATAAATAAGTCAAACAAAAAAAGAGGGTGTAAGAATATTTCGCCATTACTTCAAATAAGCTTATAGACCAGGTTTATAAACATAGTATTGGTACATTTCTTTACAAAAGGAACCTGTCCATTGACATTCTGTATATTCATTCTGAAGAGATCTCTGAGCCTTTTCCAGACTCTCTATCCTATACCGTCCATGAAACTAGGAAGGTCTCCACAGGTCAGACTGAGAATAATTTCTGTTTGTAACATGAAGGAGTAGGCAGCACACAGATAATACTGTTTAGGTTTTAATTTCACTAATGAAGACTGGAAACGTACCATTAGGGAAGCATAAGCAATAGAGAGAGTGCTTAGCTATATTTGCAATTAGGACTAAAGTGAAGACACGAAAGGGACAAATAGAGACACAGAATTTAAGCCTGGCAAGTTTTAAAAGAATTGAGGAAGTCCTGGCTGAAGTTAAATAAGCTAACAAATTGCAAAGAAAGTACCCAAAAGGGAAACAGAAATTAGAGGTTGTTACCTCTAGAAAGACAACAGATACCACATATCAATCAAATATGCCAACCTTACCCACACCTTTGGTTTTGCTATCAAAATACAAAATTGTATCTTCCACAGCTGTGTAGACACTGAGACAATATTGATTGATTTTATAATATGATTAAAAAAAGAGAATCTTTTCAATCTTACGGCTAATTGGTAGTTTATGTCATAGGACTTGCTGATCTTGGTCTAGTGCTTAACAAACTATAGTTCACACTATTAAAATATTTAAAACTGTTACAAAAAATGGACAATTTGATTGGATTCCATTGATATTACCAAAATGGATTCAGTATAAAACTCCATTCAGCCTCTAACACCATGATGTTTATCTTGGGGCTTGCTTATATGGCTTCCTACCCACAACACTATCTGGTCATTCAGGCAAACATCACGATTGTTTGCTTTTGGCAGGGAGGCTTGTGTGTCTGCATGTAGATGAGACGTGTGCAGAGGTAACTTGTATGAAATATGGAGCCTGATTTTTTTTAGCTTTTATGCCAAAGAGAATCCCTCTAAACAAACAATATGTACAGGGAAAGTGTTTTCAATGATGCCACAAATAGACAATTAAATGAAACCCACTTGAGACTTACCCCTTAAAACTGGCTGCATGCTGCGGTTGAGCTCTGTGGTAGGTATGACACCACCACCTCAGTATATGCTGCAACATCATGTGGAATGAGAACTGGCAAACCATCACTTTCGAGCACCTTCAAAAACTAAAATAAAAGTAAGACGTCAATTTTAACACCTCTCATCCTTGATATTAGAATCATTCGGTAGATTTAATAAATTCCAAAGATGGTTTATTTTTCTTAGGTTGATACTCAGGTTGCTCTAAAATTTTTAAGAAACACTTTTTTTGCATCTCATTATCCTGCCAAAAATCTGTTAGTATTCTTTCATCTTTAAAAAGCCCTACAAGCATACACAAAACCTGGCAAATATCTCTCTCTCTACTTTAGAATAGAAAATAAAGAAGCACACCATGAAATCTGTTTAAATATTTGATGGTTGTTGCTTGTCTTTGCTGAGTCATTTGATTAACAGTTACCCTTTGATTATTTGATTGCTCCAGTCTTGATGTTCATAGAGGAGGTATCACTTTCACAGGATGAGACAAGAAGCAGCGAAGCAGAGAGAGAAAGCTGAATTGGTTCTCACATGGCTAACTCTGCTCTGCTTCTCATTGCATGTGAAACGTTCCATGGTGAGTGAAAGTTGCAGAATGCACATATCCATATTCCACTTCCAACAAGTATATTGACAGTCTCAGTACCAGAGATACTCTGATCAGCCAACAGGAAAAGAGAGGTAAGCATTAACCCACCTGCTGTTCATCTGCACAGACTGAGTTGAAGAAACACAAATTTTTCTGTAAAATTAAAGTGACACTTAGCAAGTATTTTTTGATCCATACTAAAGAGAGTTGTTTAAAGGTGATGAACTGAGATTTGATATAAATGATTGTTATAATTTCAGTAAAATGTGGATATATTTACATATTTCCTTTTTCAGCTTACAAAGATGTTAGAACTCTGCTAAATTTCTGTAATTTTGAGCCTGCACTGTAATAGTTTCCACATTCAGAATTTCACTTTGAAGCCCTCATTCTGCAAGCTCTGAACACATGAAAAATCCCTTGATATATGTGGAAATCCCATCTTGGTAGTATTTGCATGATCATGCCCCGAGTTTCCCTTCTGCCAGATTCTCAAAAGGAAAATGAAGTTAAATCTACAAACATTTTTTCTTTAAAATGCTCCAAAAGTGCTAAAATCAAGATCACGTCCCCATAGTCCTAGGGGCTGTCATTAACCCAAACCATGTTTGGGTCCTGACCTAAAGAGCTTACAACATAATACAAAATGCAACTAGAGAATAAAGAAAATAGTGGGGATGGAGGATGGGAAAAGGACTGTAAAGAATATGCATAGGATAGAGTAAAAGTTGGGATCACTGACAATAATTTAAGGTAGTGTTTCTCAAACTGTGCTCCACAGAGCCTCAGGGCTCCACGAGACATCTCCAGGGGCTCCGCAAGGTTGACAAACTGGAAACATCGATAGGTGCAACACATACAATCAGTCGACCACTGGGGCTCTGCATAAATTTTTACTCATGTAAAGGGCTCCGGAGTCCAAAAAGTTTGAGAACCGCTGCTTTAAGGCATCTCAGGAAGCAATAATTTGCAATGTATCTAGAATAAGCTCACCCAGAAAATAGGAAATTATCAAATTATTTTTCCTCTGTATAAGCTGTTTTGTACATCTCTCTCTCTAATAGAAACTTGAGCACTGAAGCAGCAACCTCATCTTCCTCCAAAATGGTTTTGCACAGTCTAGTAAGAGAACTAATTTTCCAGGATAGTGAAGTAATAATACATTTTTATAATCAAATGTGACAAAGTCCACTGTCTTTACTGGAAACTTTACTTATCATCCTTTGCCAGCTTCCTGGAGAGGAGCCTCTCTCTACAAAAAGACATTGTCTGACACTTGAAAAAAAATCACTCAACCATCACTCCTTTCTGATGATGATTCTCTTTTCTGACTTCACATCCTAAGATCACTGACAGTATAAAGTGAATTTCTTGGGTCCAGAGAACTTCATAGTTCATAGATCACTCATCTAAATTATTAGATGGTGTTTACTATCTTTTTTTGGCAGATGTGAGTGAGAGGAAACAGCTACATAGGGAAGAAACATAAGGAAATCCTCCATTCCTTAAGAAATCACAGCTATGTAGTTTAGAATAATATAACATAGGTATATAAAATGAGTGATACAGAGACAGAAATGCAGACATCCAATAACACAAAAAGGACACAATGGAATAAAAAAACAACACTTGCAGAACTAACTAGCAGTCAAAAACCCTTCTAAGAGAATGAGCTTAGTATGAGTAAAATAGCTAAAACTGCCTAAGAACTTAAGTTGGGTGGCAGCAGATTGCTAATGCCAGTGACATTCTTAAAAAAAAAAAAAGTTCTCAAACACTCTCTCACACACACACACAGACACCACATACTCAGACATATTCTAGGCTTCAGAGTGATGTGTACTGAGTGTATTGATGTGTGTATAGCAGACATTGTGCTGGAATAGTTGTTAATTTGTGTGGGAGCTGTGGCAGTTGAGTCAAGTTGTCTATCATCTGTAGTCTCCCCATACAGGTCCTTACATGGGTATATATTAATAAAGGAAAAGTAGTGATTAAGTTAACACTGGTATAACCATAATCTAGGAAACTTGGCATGGCACAGCTACATACCTTATTGCAGCTATCCACAGCACCTGTGTGTAAAGACAAAATGATTGAGAGCTACAAAAGCGGATGGAAACATCACAAAATCTGATGAATCAATCTGGTTATGTTTTCAATAAAAAAAGCTCTTAGCCATGCTAGTAGCTACTTCTTATAGCTTAATATTATTGCAGAAAGACATTCTAGGCTTCAGTATGACACACGATTCCAGAATAGTCATCTGGAGAAAAAGGCTGTGGTTTTATTTTTTTCTTATGAAAACAAAATATTACTAAAGCAAGTTAATTAACATGAATTTTAATACTTGCTGTTACAGTAAGCATGACAAATTGATACTATCAGCCATACAAAACAACTGCACATCTGTGCCTAAAAGGGGCATTGCACACTTCTGAAGCTTTTTTGAAGAGTAAGGGAAGCCAAAGGAAGAGAGACATCCCACAGTTGTGCCCTGCTCACCAGGCTATTGGTTATGCTGGGGTGAGATGCCGTCTTAATGAAAATTAGGCCTCTAGAAAATTTTCATTTTGCATTGGAATGAAACTAATTTAGAAACCTCAGGCTTTTTGTTCCACAGAATTTATTTTTGACCAGACCTACTATTCATATCTGATCTAGTACAGCTGAACTATAATTTATTATAATCAGAGAATACACTATGGAGCCAAGGTATGGAGTAGATTAGAAATGCTACTGTAGTGCCAGAGGTATGGTCAGACAGAGTTAAATTTTAAACTAAAGTATCTTCAAACCCCTTTCTGAAGGCTTAACATTTGTTTTCAGGTGTGTGTGGGGGGGGGGGGGGGAAGGGGAGAGATAATGCCTAGTACTTTCAGCAGCTACTGACCTCATAAATGCTCTATGAGCATGAATGAAAAGGACCTTTTATAAACAAAAACAATTGTATATTTTAGAGGATGCCCTCCCCCCCCAGATAAAAGAGAAAAATGCTTAACCAATGACTTACATTTATCCTCCTTTCATCTCTTCTTATGCATAGCAACATGTACCATGAGTTGCTCAGCACTTACTATGTTCAGAAAGAGGAAAAATGAGTCTTGACGTAAAGGAGTCCACAATCAAAGGGACAAATATTTAGCTTTACCCCAAAATTATAGTTTTCAGGTATATTAAATGACTAGTTCCAGCTTTTTTTTGGGGGGGAGGGGGGTAGTTTGCTGACATATAGACAGCTATAATATTTGAGAAGGGCCTTAACTTGCCCATTTTTTCATATGTGCTCATATGCTTTGACACCAATTGTAACAATGAGCCATATCCTCAGTGTAAACTAAAAGCAGCTTCCTTGAAATCAATGGAGCTATGCTTTGTGTTGACAGTGTAGCCTAAAATTCTGTCTTATAGAACATGCTGTTGATTCGGATCCATGTTTTCTTCCTCCCTCCCTTCACTAATCAGAAGATTCTTTATAGCCTTTCCAAAGGGCAGGTACCATAATTTGGATGGGAATCAGATGATTATTGTTACTCATACTGCCTAATGCACGTTCTATGTCAGTTTTAATTGTCTGTACAGTAGAGGAAGAAGGGGGAGATATCCAGTTGCAACCATCAACAGTTTTCAGCAGCATGTTGTTCCTGTCCTGTTCTGGAGCCAATTCTGACACTCCTGCTGCCATTCAGTAGGAATTCTTCTGATGGACACTGGAGTACCCAGTAATAACTTATATTGGTCAAGTCCACATATTAAGCCAGAGACCTTGTGAGACTGGATCCCAAAACAGTTTTGTAACTATGTAATTGCTCTTTTATAGTTAGTCTTGTTATTGTTATATCTGCACACACATGGTAGAGCTATTCTTGCAATTTATCACTAATCTTATGATTAAAGTAACTTTTCATGACCCATTAGCTAATACTTGCAGCTTCTAACAACTCCCCAGTCATTTGTACATAATACAACTTGATTTAAGTTCTGACAAAAAGGAATTTATTTTTAATTTTGGAGAGAGAAGAACTTCTTAATTGCTGAACTGTATATTCCCTATTGAAAAAGTGTCACAGCACATCTATGGTTTATTTCTCTTTTATAGAGGGATTAATGGGAGGAAAAGGTTGTACAGGTTGGACCTCCTGTGTTTGGCACCATCAGGACCTGACCAGTCCCTGATGAGGGATTTTGGCAGACCAGGTGAGGACATTTCTTATCCCCCATCACTAGCCCCATCCTGCGCTGTCCCAACTGTTAACCTCTCAGCTGTCTCCCACTTCTTGCTGGCCCTGCTGATCTACCTGTAAGCCCTGCTACCTCTGTGCACCAGGCTCCTGCAGTTGTGCACAGCCCAGCTGCCTCTGCTCGCTGGGCTCCTACTGCTTTGCCAGGAACCCCCTGCCTTTGCGCACTGGGCTCTCAGTGCCACACTGTGCAGCCTCACTGCTTCTGTGCGCCGGCTTCCCGCTGCAGGGCCTGGCTCCTGCTGCCACTCTGAAC